GAGTACAGGAATGAAATCCACCGTTTGGCCTTCAACAAGTTTTTAGTTTAGACAACAACCACGATGACCTTCAGTGATATTAGTTCAGACAAGAACCCTAGTTAATATTGACAAGAACCACGAGGTCCTTCCGTGACATTGAGTTTAGACAAAAACCACGCTTGAAATTTTGAACATTTTCGTTCTCGAGACATAGAACAGATTTTTTTTTTTCAAAAATTGAGCATAGTGGGAGGCCGTGCACTTTTGAAGTAGAATGTTCGAATTATGAGGGAAAAGAGTACGTAGTTAGAAACTGTCAAAGGTCAAAGCTATGGTAATAAAAAAACAGTTCCGTTGTTAGAATTGCGAAAAAATGGGCCATTTTGATCTTCAATGACCGACGTCTACGACTTTCAGTAGCATCCAGTTCAGGAACGAAGCCCACACCGCCTTCAGTGACATTGAGTTCAGGAATGAAACGCACCGTTTGGCCGTGTTTAGTTTAGACAACAACCACGATGACCTGCAGTGATATTAGTTCAGGCAAGAACCCTAGTTAGTTTTGACAAGAACCACGATGTCCTTCCGTGACATTGAGTTTAAACAAAAACCACGCTTGAACTGGGAGCTAGCGCAGATTTTAAGATCCAAGTGAATCAGAACCGGTTGTGGTTTACCTACTTTTCGCGAAAATTGTTGGTTCTCGGAACATAATTTTTTTGAAAAATTGAACACAGTGGGAGACCGTTCTTAGTCACGCACTTTTGAAGTAGAATGTTTGAATTGTGAGGATAAAGAGCACGTAGTTACAAACTGTCGAAGGTCAAAGGGTTTGCACTGCTATCGGTGCGGTGTAAAGGACGTGACTACACAAAATTGCCAGTGACGTTCGGGAAATGGGCGGAGAGGTAAGGACCCGCCGGCTCCATGGGGTCTCTAAGCCGTCAGGATAACTGCAGTTTGTTTTCCCCGAGTTCCTCTCTACTCGACTCTTTTGGCTTCGCACTTGAGGTCAACTGTTAAAATTATCGTGATCAGAATGCTCTCATTGAAAATTATCCGTTGCACCAGCTTGTTGCTTTGCGTGTCCTCAAAGACTTGATGAAGGGACAAAGAGACGTTGATTGAAGTAAGTGTGGAAAAAGTCTTAGCGAGAATGTAAATTTTTTGAGCAAGTTAAGTGACGTATCCTTGCGTCATGCATTGTAGTGAAATGCTCCCTTGGCCGCTGAGAAAAACATGTATAACATCTGGCCATGACAGGAAGAAAGTAGACCTTTAGCTGTAGAAAAAGAGGGCGTCGTTGAAAACTAATAGTTGACGACATTGACTGATGAAATTCACGCTGTCAAGGCTAAGGTGACAAAGAAACATTGACATTGAGCCCGGGAATGAAATCCACCGTTTGACCTTCAATAAGTTTTTAGTTTAGGCAACCACGATGACCTTCAGTGATATTAGTTCAGGTGAGAACCCTAGTTAGTTTTGACAAGAACCACGATGCACTTCCGTGACATTAGGTTTAGACAAAATCCACGCTTGAACTTGGTGCATGCGCCGATCCGGTCATAGTGGGAGACCGTGCACTTTTGGAATAGAATGTTTGAATTGTAAGGGATAAGAGTACGTAATTAGAAACTGTCAAAAGGTAAGGGTTCCATTGCTATTGGTGCGGTGTTAAAGATGTAACTATACAATATTGCCAGAACCATTCGGGAAACGAGCGGTGGGTTGAGGACCCCGCCGACTCCACGGGGTCTCTGAATCTTCACGATAACGGGAAATACACCTTTTCACAATTTTCTGTAAAAAAAGAGGACACCACTACTAGTTGACGGCATTGACTGATGAAATTCATGCTGTGAAGGCTATGGTGACAAAGAAACAGCTCCGATGTTGGAATTGCGAAACAATGAGGCATTTTGATCTTCAGTGAGCTACGTCTACGACCTTAAGTATCATCCAGTTGAGGAACGACCCCCCCTCTCACCCCCAGTGGCATTGAGTTCAGGAATGAACCCCATCGTTTGGCCTTCAATAAGTTTTTAGTTTAGACAACAACCACGATGACCTTCAGTGATATTACTTCAGGTAAGAACCCTAGTTAGTTTTGACATGAACCACGATGCACTTCCGTGACATTGAGTTTAGACAAAAACAACGCTCCAACTTGGTGCATGCGCAGATTTTAAGGTCATAGTGGGAGCCCGTGCACTTTTGGAGTAGAATGTTTGAATTGTGAGGGAAAAAAGTTAAGGGTTTGTATTGTTATTGCTGCGGTGTTAAAGATGTAACTATATAAAATTGCCAGAACCGTTCGGGAAACGAGCGGTGGGTTGAGGACCCCGCCGACCCCACGGAGTCTCTGAGTCCTCACGATAACGGAAAGTACACCTTTTCACCATTTTCTAAGGAAAAAGAGGACACCGTTGAAAACTAATAGTTGACGGCATTGGCTGATGAAATTCATGCTGTGAAGGCTATGGTGACAAAGAAACAGATCCGGTGTTGGAATTGCGAAACAAAGGGGGATTTTGATCTTCAGTGAGCTACGTCTATGACCTTAAGTACCATCCTGCTGAGGAACAACCCTCCCCCCCT